GTAATATTTACTTATATTATTCAGTCTACAAATTATCATAAATGTAGTATAATTGTTTTTAATAAACCTAGACTAACATTTTTTTGATTGTTTATTTTTTTGTAAAACAAATAAAATGACACAAACTATTACCTTCTTTTAGAACACATTATTTTATTCCACTGAACTGAACTGAACTGAGTAATAATAATAATAATAATAAGTAGTCTGATAGGTTCAAATACCCAAAAACTTACATCATTTCTAGACCCAGTTAACATTGCCATCTTCAGTCCAAAAGTGAAATTAATTATTAAATTCAGTCTTGTGTGAAACATATGGTCAGGAAATAATGGCACTGTAGCCTGAGCAGATTTTGCAAAGTTCAAAAGTGTGGACGACTTAACAAACCCTAAAGTTTCAAATGTGGATATCACACAAACCATCTGAGAGCAGCCCATTATAGAAGCATATATCCACTGCCACTAATAATGAGTATCTTCATTATCACTTCAGTGGTCTGAAACTGATTAAGGAGGTCTGTGAGTCAATTTCTGGCTGAATAATACCCACTTTAATATTTGATTATTTCTGTAATTGGGCAAAAATTCTTGGAGTTAAGTCACACACTGAAATATCAGTTTGCTCTTTGGGTTTCTCTAATGTGAGACTATTCAAAGAAATCTAGGAGTGCATATCCTTATCCATTGTTTGGCAAACTTTATTTAATCAGTCTTTCCTATTAAGATCAGATTGCATTACATTCTACACTGAAACAAATGGTGAAGGAATTATTTTGAAACAATTTTCACTTAAAAATTATTAGTACATTTCACAAATAATTAACAAAATGGCAAGTAACACTGCATTAAACGTAAATTTAAGCAGAAAGACTCTTTTAAAACATTCTAATCATCTTTATATACAACTTCAAAAAATTATTTTCAAAGTAAAATATACAATAGCTGTTCTGTGGCCAGAGATTTGCGGGTCTTGTCTTTTGCTCCTATATGTGACTTGCAGGACCCTGTACGTTATGGTACTAAAGTAGTTTTAATCGTTTAACCACCACAGTGTCTCGTCTCCATTGGCAACACGCACCATTTGTGTTGATTGCAAGTGATGTTGCAGGTAGCAGAGAGTGCAGGTGGCGATTGCAAGTGACAGCAATTTTGCTTATTTTTTCTTGTCTGGCTACTTTTGTAAAGTGTTGAGGGAATAAAAAAAAAATAATAATAAAATAAAATAAAATAAAATAAATATTGCAAGTGACATCAATTGCGGAAGCATAGATGTTTGAGAGTGCAAGTGCATGTCTGCAGCCAGTAGGGGTGGGGGAAAAAATCGATACAGCATAGTATCGCAATATTTTCCGCGACAATACTGTATCGATACACGGACACCAAGTATCGATCTTTTCTTATACTATTTGGTAGAATAATAAAATCAATTTCTTTACAATACACTAGATGGTGGTGTTGAGTTTTTTTTCTGGTGAGGTCAGCTGGGAGTATCGATCTCTTATTATACTATTTGGTAGAATAATAAAATCAATTTCTTTACAGTCCACTAGATGCTGGTGTTGAGTTTTTTTTTTTTTCTGTTGAGGTCAGCTGGGTCACCTTCAGCATGCAGTAAGTTAGTAAAATAAAGATGGCGGCATCGCAGAAAGTTATCAGGAAAGCCCCGTCCGCATTTAAATCGGATGTATGGACTTACTTTGGATTTGTAAACAAGGAGGGGATGTAAGTACGGATGATGCTACCTTCAGTGACGCTATGCTGTGCTATGCTATGCTCTGCTCATATGCTCTGATAATAATAGCTTTGTAGGACTATACATTATTTGAATAATTAGTCAAAAAAAAAAAAATGATTACATTCTGTTACATAGAAGTGAATAAAAATATGTTACTTTCAGTAAAAGTGTGGTTATTTTATTGGCTTGTGTTATTTTAAATTCAGTATCATTAAAATCGAGTTAAATTTAAAAAGTCTTACAAAATTACTTTATAATAGAAACGTTTTGGCCCAGAATTTTCATTTTGGTGCATCCGTAGATGTAAGACTACATGTTTTATTTAATTTAATTTAAATTTAACAGTAATTTACTTTCAAATGTCCCAATTGCTGAAGGGTCTGCACAACTTTTTTGTACAAGTTCAAGTTGCATTGTTCAAAATACCTGTAGTAGAACAGCAGTGCATAGTATACCTGTTGTAGCACATTGTTTATTTTAAGAGAGTACATGTTTAATTTAAATGTAACATTTTTATTTTAATGTAAGACTATGTTTTATTTATTTTAAATTTAACAGTAATTTACTTTCAAATGCCCAATTGCTGAAGGGACTGCACAACTTTTTAGTACAATTTCAAGTTGCATTGTTCAAAATACCTGTAGTAGCACAGCAGTGCATACCCGTGTACATTTAATTAAGGTGGACTAGATTAGACTGTAATACAAATAATTGAGTTTGCCAGGTGCATACAACATTTATGACAGGTTTTCATGAAAGTGTTAGTTTGGTCAGTTTGTCTGCTTGACAATCCCATTTTGCACTGCAACAATAAAACTGAAATGAGATAAACAAACTGAGAAATGTTTCTTTTTAGTTAAAACAGATGTTGTCAAAGTTTTCCTT